TATCTTTATTAATATTTCCACTTTCGCTTTTATGGAGTGGTATACTTGCTGCTTGCTTTTGCTTACTACCTGCTTTTGAGAGCAAACTTTTCGCTTATTCTCTAATTACCGGATCCGGCCCGGGTTGTACAGGAAAGATCCTATTGAATCATGCTTAGAACCCGCTAAAAAAAATCAACTTTTTTCAACCTCTTGTTCTTACGTGATCTTGTGTTGTACCTCAGAGCAACCGCCGTCTTGTTTGCCACTCAAAAGTTATTTATTTACTTTTACTTGAGAAATGTCATCGCCCTCGGGAAAGCGCAAACTTGTATTCTACCATTCTTGCTTCAGTTGTACTCTGAATTTCCACCTGCAATGGTACAGTGCAATTTGTTTTACACATGAACCAAAAAGACAAGGGCCCGTAGTCATAGTCAAAATAAAGTCGACTTTAAAGTTAGTTGCAGCTTTTTTGACAGATATCCCATTGAAAATTATGTCAAAAAGCTGCAACTAACTTTAAAGTCGACTTTATTTTGACTATGACTACGGGCCAAGATCACGCGGGCTGGAGACTAGCCCGTTAGAATCGCATTTAGGAAAAAAGTTGAACGATTTTGACATTAGCCGTTTGTTTACATTTCTTCGTTGTTTACAATTTGGTAGTGGCTTTTTACTGCAATTTTCTTCATTTTCGCTTGTGACAACGTGTGTACACAAAAGATAAAGAATAATTTAACACAACGGCATGATTTATAGAAGAATTTGCATAATAAAAATGATTTTTCATGCGTTCAACAATTTCGCGCTTTTCTCCGTTCTCTTCGTTGTTTACTTCTTACAACAAAGATCGCGTCGAGATTTCGGCAGCTAGAAAATAACTTTTTTCGTTCTTTCCTTCCCGCGTGATCTTGTGTCTTTCGTTCATGTGTTTTACATAGCCGACTTTGTATCAACCACCGAAAGTGGATTGGTTGGAAAGGGAGGCTCCCATTTTAGTATGTGGAACATGACACACACACACACACACATATATATAAGCAGTTTTTGATTCACCAAGAGCAACTCCTTTAAATCCATAGCATTTTAACCCTTAACGAGCTAGCAAACGTACATACATATATACACTAGGCAACAAATGAAAGTGTACACCTTGTTCTAATATAACCCGTTGCGAAAATCTGTCATCATGACCTATGTCATATACTAGTAAAGCACAGAATGAACACCTCCGACGACGCATTACGCTGTCAGTTGCAAAATAACGTGCCGCCGAAGTTATTTCCAAGCGCCGAACTACTCCGAGCGACTGCTATACATTCTACGTAATTTACTTTGTAAAACAGCTCAGAAGTATGTCTGATACCTAATTTACATTCTAAATTCCTACTTACATAACGGCGCCACGCATTTTTTTAAACTAAGACAGATTCGTCAGTGAAGTGGTTAGGACCGCCGGGTGAAGTGTAAGTTGCTGCTAAGGTATTGCACTTCATCCGGCGGTCCTTACCACTTCCCTGACGAGTCTCCCTTACTTTAAAAGGCCTTATGTAAGTAGGAATTTAGAATGTACATTTGGTATCAGACATATAGGCTGCATTTCTTTATTCATTCTGAACGTTTGGAATAAACTTTTTTGTTCTTTAGAACGTTCCTGATGATATGTTGACGTATATTTCAAACACATTCTGTTTATTCCGGCTGTGAAATGGGATTATCCGAAATGTATAAAGAAATGCAGCCATAAGTTACGTAGAATGTACAAAGTAAGCTATGTAGAATGTAGAGGAGTCACTCGGAGTAGTTCGGCGCTTGGAAATAACTTCGGCGTCACTGTGTTTTGCAACTGACAGCGTAATACGTCATCAGAGGTGTTCATTTTGTACTTTACTAGTAGATGACATTGATCATGATGACAATTTTATAAATTTTTATAAATTACCTCGTAAGGTGCTTACCTGTTTTCCGAGTGGGAATATTCACAATTATTTTCATGAAAAATTTTTTGCCTTATTTATTTATGAAAATATAGTTCATTCTATAATATAAACCATATACAGCGTGTAAAATAGTAAATATCGCACTTGGTTTTTTTTTTAATTACGATGTGGTTCGCTTTATTTCGATTAATTAATGATTCAATCATAAAAATATAAACAATTTACGACATATTTTAAGCATTAATTTAAATCCTCGTACCCTTGATTTGAAGGACTTGCTTTAAACTTTTGAGACGATTTTCGCAGGCGGCACGGTCGAGTTCGTTTGATATATCGTCCCACATTTCTATTAACTTCTTTTTGAAATTATCCAAGGTCACATTATTGATGTTATCTATAAATATAACCTATAAATACAGTTAGGGGGTTCCCTTGAACTCGTTAAGTCTCAAACTGTGTAAAACTTGGTAAGTTTGCGAAGCCTTTATGGGAACACCCCCTGTGTGAAAATATGTAAATAGGTGCGTATAGTGACTGTTTGATAGGTCAACCAGAATTTTGTGAAACAATTTTTGTTTTGTAGTGTTCTCCATAACAGCCCGCCATCTTGTCTCGATCACTCTTGGCTAAAATACAATTAAAAATTCCGAGGCTCGTAAAGTTACGAGGTTTGCGAGGCTTTTACGAGTTTAAGGGAAGACCCCTAGTGTTAAGAAAATATTCGAACTTGGCCCTTTTATCGAAAAATAGAATTCGATGCTTGATATTTGCGCATCCCGCTCATTAATACTTTTCTTAGGGTAAGCACATCAAGGCGAATTTATACAAGGTGGTGTTACTGGCGAATTTAGATTTTCGCGATGGCTGTAACTCTCGTCGAAAAAGATTATTTCTGTTTCTGTATTGCCTCGCTAGTAGCACTTTGCTTCTTTCCTTTCTCTTTTTGTATTGGAACCCGTCAAGACCACGAATTATTTTTTTCGTCCACGTTTTTCCTTATTTTCAGAGCTACCGGCTACAAAATCGCGTTGATTATTTAGATTTTTTTTTTTTTTGAGACCGATTTTTGCACTTTTTCCGTATAAGTATCAATTTCTTATGGAATAAAATGCGGGAGAACGTTAGCAACAAACTTTCCAAAAATCAACACCAGTTTTTTGTAAATTGCACTTGTTATATAAAAGAAAAACGCAAAAGGAGTCTCTAAAAAAAAAAAACATTGTCAAAAATCAACGCGGTTTTGTAGCCGGTTGAAACTTGGACTTCATTAGACTAAAATTGAATGGGCCACAAAACTCCATACTCGGAAAGTTTTCTAGAAATTTTTTAATCAAAAGTTGAAAATTTTGATGAAATTTTTTTAAGTTTTGTAAACTTTATATAATGTGTGAAACTTTGATTTATATGGTTTAATTTAGGCATTTATTATTCTACCATCACAAGCTAATAGCTAAATCATGGTCAAATAAAACGAAACCGGCTTATTTCCTATGTTGGCCTAATTTTGACAGTTGTTTGACTGCAAATAAAAAAAAATTTAAATATTCAAAAGCAAATCTTTTTGTTTAGATTTTTTTTTTTTGTGCGAATGTTTGCTTCATGATATTAGCGCATACGGTTTACTTACGAGACATAAGAATACCAATTATCGTATTAAGCAAATAGCTTAAATTTCTGGTCAAATAAAACAGGCCTACTATATATATTTTTTATAAATAAATGCAAAAAATTGTTCATGAAAATAATTGTGAATACTATATTAGAACAAGGTGTACACTTTCATTTGTCGTCTAGTGTATATAACTACATATAAGGGATGTTACGAATGTAATATATTTCACAAAGGCGATTTTTCGAAATATTATATTACCTATATTTCCTAAAAAGTAGTTTTGCTGCTTTTTGTCCACGAAAAATTGCTCACGCTGTCGGTGGAGCTCTAAAAAATTTTCAAGCAGTTTTCCACAAATCGCGAGTTGCTCGCTTTTCATTAAGATTGTAATTGATTTCAAAATTTTAATGTCTCCAAATTCTACACCCCAGCCTTCGCAGGAGGAATATAATATTCCTGCTAGGTGAATTATAAGACCTTTAACAGAAATCGTTGAAAGCTCACCATTATTTTATCGCCTGAAGCTAAACACTAATTATTGCCACCATCCTGGTTAGGACGACTTATAGCCAATGCGAATGTTAAAAATTTTGCGAATCATTCGCATAAACGAACTCGTATTCAAATATTCGTAACATCCCTAATACATACTATATATAGGTACGCGGTAGTGTTCTTCATTGTTCGCTTTGTTGTTGCTTCCTCGGAAATTTATCGTTAAGCGAGCAGAGAAACGTACATTTGTACGTACTTAAGTGGCGATGGTATTGATTAGAAAAAACATCAATCTGTATTTACGGATACGCTTATGGTACAGTATGTACCAAATATATAATTTTATTAGAATTATTATAAGTTCTTTCTGTAAGTTGGTTTCCAATTGTAATATACATACAAATCATACATAAAGATATATACACATACAAACAAACTATGTAGTATTTTTAGATTGACAGCCGCTATCTTTTGGCTTTTAGTTGAAAAGCTCATCTAGTAACTATGTATAATTTAGCACATGCTTAGACAGATCCTATAGCGGCCTTCTTCTCCAATTGGTGGTTTGCACCTTGATTTTCTGTGAATTCACGACTCTACAGTATTATGCAGAAAGGCAGTCAGCGACCGCTATTAAGGAAAGTTCTTCTCTCATTCAGATGTTTATGTCCGTATTGGGCAACATGCCGGTACGTCATGGGTAACCACAATCAGCTATGGCGGATACTCACCTAGCCATTACTAATTATTGGAAAAAAGTACATCAGACACATGCTGTCGTC